GCTTTTCTTCATGCAAAATGTCAAACACAGGAAAAGGTGCCACTGCCATTTTTGTCCTTCTGTCCTCAACATGGCGGGCTAAAAGCAGCTAAAAAAAGGTCATTGTGTTATAAATTAATGCTCCGATTTAATAGTTAAAGAAATGTATTAAATAATCAAAGTATAAATTTGTTAAAAAAGAAAAAAAAAACACCCACAAGTGATTAGACTCTGAGGTGATCAGGGTCATGGAGACTTAGGACTTGGCCTCTATCACACCAAAGTCCCCATGGGTCTCCAAGGGTCAGTTCTAAGGGGTCCATTTTTATACAGTCTCTTGGGCTTTGGAAGGGGTCTTCTTTAGCATATTATCACATTTTGGAACCTGTGGAAAATTGCTGGAATCCTGACAGGTGAAAATTTCTGGGATAAGCTTCTGATGATGCCTATCAGAATGCCACCTGCTGGGGTCTAGTCAGACAAGAGAAATCCTTTGGAATATACATTTCTGGAGACAGTGTCTTCTTGGTATTTGAATCTTTATCACTCAGTCTGTTGCTGCTGCTGATGCCTATCAAAAATGCCTCCAGCTATGGTCTTGTCAGATGAAAAATCCCTTGGAATATACATCTCTGGTGACAGTGTCTTCCCGGCATTTTGAATTTCTATCACTTAGCTTGCTTGTTGCCTGACACTGGTTTTAGTACACAAAATGCTGTGGTTTTTAATTTTATTTAGCACAAATTATTTTATAACATATATTACATATTACAATTGGGAGCAATGCCGAGGCAGCCGCGGCCGTTATCCTGGTTGTGCTGATTTTGGCCGCGTGCTCCTGGCCACGTGGATGCTTCCAGTCCGGGATGATGGTGGCAGCCACGTGGCCAGTCCTGGCTCCGGCCACTCCTGGCTTCGGGGCCACCCCCAGTGCTGACGGCAGCCAGTGGTGGCCCGGCTGCATCTTTGCTCCTGGTGCTGGTACAGCCTCCGGCCGGCACGGTCCAGCAGTGCTGCCAGAAAAAAGAACCTGGGAGCTCCACCAGGAAAGAGTCCTGGTCCTGCTGGGAAGGGGCCCAAGCTGCCTCGCCTGGCGGGTGTTATGAACAAAAGAGCCTTCCTGGTTCCCATGGCAATACTGGGACACTGCTGGCTTGAGCTAAGTACTGATATTGGATTGTTAATAGCTAATTGCTCCTGGGGATCACCTACACCCCCCACCCACACTGCCATTCTAGGACTGGGATGCAAAATAGAGGGACCAGTGGAATCATGGGAGGGGGTTTTGGGGATGAAGACACCCTGAAATGGAGGGATGGGCACAGTGGAGGGGGCTGGACGGGTGCGCTGGCTGGGGAAAAGGGAACCACATCCCTAGTCAATGTTTGACCTGTCATCATAGCCTGCAGAGGATTGGACTGGACTGGGCTGTGGGAAGCAGGAACAACAAGGCAGCTCTTCTTGGGGTTACCAGGAGGAAAGGAGAGGGGACAGCTGCTGCTGGACTTCAGCAACAAGCTCTGTACATCCCCTCACCTTCCAGCTACCACTGTGCCATGAGGAAAGGTGTTGGGAAGGATGGATAAATATGATTATTCATAAATAATACATCCAGGATGAGAATGGTCCCCTCTGCTGGCTGGACAATGCCCTTACCTACAGATAAGTCCAAAAGTCAAATAGACTGTTCCATCTCACCCCCCAAAATGTATGGTTCACCCCGCACCTGTAACCCTCCCCTAAAACATCAAGTCTCTGTAACCCCATTGGCCCAAGTCTTGTTCCAGCCCACCTTGAAACCTCCTGATAAGGGGTCTCCGAGGGGCCAGACGCTCTCTTGGAACTTCCCCTCCTCTTGGAACTTCCCCTTAGATCTTCCCCCTTCTTAGGACCTCCACCCTCTCCTAGAGCATCTTTTTTTATCTCCTCTCCCCCATTCCCTCAAGCCTTGCCACGTTCTACGTCTGGCAGCTCCAAGCAAGACCTTTCTCCATCCCTAATAAACCTGATATCCCAAGAGCAGCCTTCAGAGATCTCTCGTCTACATTCACCTAAACCGTCCTGGAGCCCAGCACTTCCTACAGAAAGGAGAGAGGACAGTCAGCTGATCGGGACTTCAGATACTGACTGCACACCTCTTCGCCCTTGGGCTCAGCAGCCTGCTCACCACACCTCAGAGGGCAGAAATCTCAGCTGAGCCATGCCCTGCTACAAGCCGAGCCAGCCTGGCCACACGGGCCAGCCCAGCCTGGCCAGTTACTCGTTGGAAGGCTGGAAGCCAAGAGACCTTCCCCAGGCTTTGTTCATTTTTAAAAGTGTCTTCATGGAGGCGTGTTCAACTCTTTTAAGTGGTTGAACTGGGTGTCAATCTTCAAAACCAGCCAGCTGATTGGCTCCATCAGGTCCCCCAGGGAACCACCCCCATGGCGCGTGGATTGCCCCCAACTGAAAACAAGACTTCGTTAAACCGCGACACCGGGGAAAGAGAATAAAAGCCTTCGTGTGAGTCTAAGAGGCCAGAACATGTGGAAAGTGGGCCTGAAGTTTCCTAAGGAGAGGCTGGAATGGTGCCTTAATACTGCAGGAGGGAGACAGAACCTCATTGCTGGGGGAATGGGGACTTTCCCTAGGAAAGGAAGGAGATTCTATTCCCACAGCAGTACGGTGATTCCCATCATTTCAGGATTTCATGGATTCTAATTCCAAAAGTAATTTTATCTGCCTTTCCCAAATTTAACTGGTCTTTTTGGCCTCAGTTCTGTGGTCTGTGCTCTGGGGAAATGTCTTTGGAAGGTCATGGGAAATCCTCTTAGGTCATCAATTTCCTACAGACCAAGACATAGTTCAATACACGAAGTATTGAAGAGTGGCACGGACCTAAGAATTGTTTTCAAGAAAAAGGTAGAGGAAATGTCATCAGCAGTGGCTGGAAGCAGCCACAGTTTGGTGAACCACAGAGCTCAGGTTTCTGCCCCACCTGGGGTCCTGCATGTCCCCAATGCCTTGGTGTCCCCTCTGCAGCTCTGTGAAGACCCAGTAGAGGCAGCAGCCATGAAGATCCTGTTCCTGCTCTTCCCCCTGATCCTCCTGCTGGTCCAGGGTGCTTCAGGTGAGAGGCAAAGTGGGGAGATGGGGAGAGGTGTGATCCTCCACTACTGGGGTTTTCTATGTCCTGGGAAGTGACCACTTTAGTGGGAGCGATGCAAAGGTAAGGGGGGATTGAGGAGAAAGGGGTTTCTCCAGTGACAGTTCTATAGGACACAGACTGGGGATGGGAAAAAAGCCTGTCTTGTTCTGTGAGTCAGGAAGGAATTCGGTTTTGGACTCCAAGCCTGCACCCAGCTATTCCTGTTTAAGAGCCCTGCACAGGGATGGCAGTGAGCCCTGTTACAGTGTGTTTCTTGTTAATGGTATGTTCTGTTATTGACCAAATTAATGGTTTGGTCCAAATTATACCCTCCCACCCCTACTGTCAGTCTACTCTGGTTTCCTGTCAATCCTACCTTGTGTCAACCCCCTGTGTGGATATCCCCTTCAGAAATCCCCTAAAGTTTGATGTCCCATTGCTACAGGGGACCCAATTCCCCCCACTATTTCCCCTATCGGATGATGCTTTTGTGAACCCCACCTTAACTCCTCCCCAGGATATCTCTGATGAGCTGATGATTTGTACCCTCCCTTTGAACCTCTCCCATATATCAGTTGCTGCTCCCTCGTCTTTCTGCCTTTTGCCACGAGATTCCCCAGGGTATTAAGTCTTCTTTTATTCTATGCAAAAGGCCTCCTTCTCATCCTTGCCTCCTCAGAGTGCAGACTGGCAGCCAAAAAGGCCATAGTGCAATTGTTCTAGCTGCACCTTGGGGAATCCTTCTCCCAGGGTGTGACCCTCTCTTGGCACCAACCAGAGTGGTAGAGCCAGTGCAGCTCCGGCTGATGTGTCAGAGCCCCGGGGTGTTTGGATGGGGGGGTATCCTGGGGCACAAAGGTGACACTTTTTATCCAGTGGTTCATCCACTGAGTGTCCCAAATCCTCATCACCTCAAAGGATGGTCCCTGCAAGGGCTGGACAATGACTTTTCATCAGAAGTCACTCAGATCATGGCAGAGCCAGCACAGTGATGTGGGATGTGAGGAGGTCCCTGCCTGCCAGCAGGACTGTAGGCACACCCTGCTCTGCCAGATTACTGCTGTAATTATTCAGTGTGTGTCTTTCCCCATGGAAACAGGGAGTAGACTTCAATGCAGACGGAGAGCAGGAATTTGTTCCTCTGTAAGATGTCGCCCCCCTCTAAGAACTATTGGAAGATGCACAGACACAGAGGTGTGCTGCAGAAGGTAAGATTTGCATTTCCTGACTGAGGAGAGTTTTCCCTTTTTTCCACAGAAGAATCTGTTTAAAATTTCTTTCTTGGCAACTCATGATAAGTAAGCTGCTGCATATATGATTTAAGAGAGTTCCTCAAGAAGGAAGGGAAAAAGTCTTTAGGGGTTTGGAGCTGCCCTGAGTGGGGCTGAAGGAGACAAAGGACAGCCAGGGTCTCCCACTGATCAAAGCCAACAAAGAGGGAAACATTCCCAGTGTTGAGAAGCACCAAGGTCATGATCCAGGTCTTGCTGCATCTGCACAGACCTGGAGCCAGGGCTGCCAGCACTGAGATACCCCAGGCCCAACCTGTCTGCACTGAGGACTGCACCTCAGCTCCCCTGAGCCTGACTCTGCTGCACCTCACCCTGGGCATTGCAGGGCAGTGGAGAGAGTGGCAGGGAATGTCACACCTGGTGATGTGATTGTGTGTTTTCTTCTTACAGTTTCTGGAGATGAGATCCTAAAATTCCTCGGCAGGACATGCCCCTTGCTTCTGGCTGCTGGACCCATCTGCTGATGTCCCCATCTGCTGATGTCCCCATCTGCTGATGTCCCCTCCCGTCGCTGCCGGTGCCGTGCCCAGCTGGGCTGACAGCAGCAGTGGCAGCTGCTCCTGCTGGCTGCTGCTGGGCTGGAGCCCTGTGGTGCCAGCCCCGCTGTCTTTGGGGCAGGGGCTGCTTTTCCTGGCTTGAATAAAGACGAGCACTTGGGCATTGCAGGGCTGGGCCGTGTGTGCGTGTCCTGCTGCTGGAGGGCTGCTGTGCCTCTGCCTCTGGGGCTGGCCCTGCCTTGGTGGCAGCAGAAGGCCCTGGGGATGGTGCTGGGGCTGAGCAGCGCGTGTGTCCCTGGGGATGCTCCTGCCTGGCCCTGCTTTGGGGACGCTGAGCCCAGCAGTGCCTGCTGGGCCAGCCTGGGTGCGGTGTGTGTGGTGGAGCTGACTGCAGATGCTCCCGCTGGGATATTGGGATCCCTGTGCTGGTCCTGCCATTCCCAGATGTCTTTTGTCCCCAACAGCTATGGTTTCATGTGCAGAGCTGTGCTGGGGGCTGTCTCCCTTGAGTACACCTGGCCATGGTGAGCCACAGGAGCTGTCCCTGCTGCTCCCCCTTGTTCTGTTCCAGCACCAAAGCCCTCCCTGCTCCACATCCCATCCCAGCAAACAAGAACAGGAGGAAGCTGTTCACATCTTGGACTCAGTGACCTGTGGAAAGGTGCCATATTGCCGTGGAAATGACCACATTTGTTTTCCCATGGGAGTTTGCAGAATGTCCTGGCCTCTCTGTCCATCTCAGGCAGTCTGGAGTGACAATTCTCTGTTCCATGAAAGGCAGGGGCCTCTCCCTCTCTGCGCAGAAAATCTCGGGTGCTGCCATTTGAATGGTTCACTACATGTGTGTGTCCATCAACTTGTGTGTATAAGAGTAACTGGGGGCCCTGCCTCACTCAGGGAACACTTTCTCTCCCAAGAATGAGAGAGTTGAAGAATTACTGATGTTGGAAAGGCCCTTTAAGCTCATTGAGCAACCATTGCCCCAGCAAGGCCACCTCTAAACCAAGTTCCCAAATGCCTCATCCAGATGGCTTTTAAATACTCTGGAGTTGGTAATTCCAACACTGCCCTGGCAGTCTGTCCCAACACTGATTACTGATTCTGCAAAGAAACTGTTCCTAATACCCAGTCGAATCCTTCCCTGGTGCTGCTTGTGGCCATTTCCTCTGCTCAATTTTTTTACTTGTGAGAAGAGACCGACACTAAAAATTTTTTGTTGCCATTGCTCTCTAGAACTGGAGAGTTTGGTGAGGGGTATTCATATCAGCCCTGCCTGCTGTGGCCTTTCCTTTCCCTGTGCTAAACCTGAAATTTTATATTGTCCCTCTTCTCTACAAACTATGCAAACAAGGCTGTTGAGGTGACATGAGAGGTAAATCTTTCACCGTACAAAGCTGAACATGTTTGCAAGGTTCAGTCTGATCTCCCACATCCCAATCTGAGTATTTATAGAATTGATAAAATCAGAGGACACAAAGAAGGAAACATTTTCCTCATTTCTCCTCTTCCCAGCCTGAATCACTCTGCCTTGTCCACCCCATCCGTCTCCTGCCCAGCCTGCTGCCGCTGTGCCTTGGGTGTCACAAGAGGTGTTGCGTGGGGACAACGGTGACATTGATTGCAACAGCCCCAGGAGGCACCTCAGCCTCTGGCCCTGCAGCAGGGAGGGACCAGGGGCAGCCCCAGCACCCCACAGCCATGGGGCACTCCCGGGTTGGCCCAGGGCTCTTGTGCCAGCAGCAACTGGGGCCTGTCCCTCCCACCAGCTCTGCTATAAACCCAGACAGTTTGGGGCACTGCAGCATTCCCTGGCCCCAGGGGCATCTGGACACAGCCATTCCTGTTGGCTTTGCTGCTCCCTGCACATCCAGACCTTCTCTAGGCAGGTGAGTACGTGGTCCTTCCTTGGAATCCTGCCCACTCAGGGTCTCAGCTCAAAGCCCAGCAGAGCAGCATCTCCTAAAGCACAAAGTTCTGGAAGTATCCAGGTATAAAATTTGGCCATCAGAGGTGCCTGGGAAAGAGAATAAAAGTCTTAAGAAGCCTATGAGTCCAGAACATGTGGAAAATTAAATTTTCATTTCCTAAGAGCAGGAGAGGCTTGGTTGGAGCCCTTGCTGCAAGATGGAGATGAGATCATTGTTGAGAGAATGGGGACTTCCTTAGCAAAATAGGGAAGAGGGAAGGCACTTTTCCCAAATCAGTATGGAGATTTCCCATCTTTTCAGTTCCTGCAAAGGTTGATTTATGTTTCCATTTCTGGGCACTTCCCTGCCCTCTGGCTGCTCCCTGGGTCAGTGCTGCCCATGGCAGGGGCAGCAAGTGTGGGGCTGGGGAATGTCTGTGCTGGGAATCCTGAGAATGCTCTGGAGTTAGGGATGTGCCCTACCAAGATGAGCTGGGAGGACTTTTGGATCCCAGGGAAGCAGAGGGGATTGGTCAGGGTGTTTGGGGCGTGTGTTTGATACCTGAAGCCCAAAAGAGAAAACACCCTGCAGTGCCATAACTTTCAATGGTAATTTTATCTCTGCATTTCCCAAATCTCACTGGCCATTTATTTTGATTTCATCAAAAACAACAACAATGGGTCCCAGATCTGCAGTCTATGCTCTGGCAAAAGGTTTTAGAAGACCTGTGAGGAAGGTCATTGAATCAGCACAGATTATTGATGATCCCAGAGACTGAGACAGTGCAATACTCCCAAGGTTTGAAGGCAGGCACACACCTGAGAATTGTTTCTAGAGAAAGGTAAAGGAAACATGATCAGATGTGGCTGGAGGCTGCCCCTCTGCCCTTTGCCTAGCCACAAAGCCTTGCAATACAGGCTCTTGTCCCACCTGGAGTCCTGCCTGACCCATTTCCTTGGTGTCCCCTTGCAGTCCTGTGAAGACCTGGGAGAGGCAGCAGTCATGAAGATCCTGTTCCTGCTCTTCCCCCTGATCCTCCTGCTGGTCCAGGGTGCTGCAGGTGAGAGGCGAGGGAGGGAAATGGGGTGTGAGCCCCTCTCGGGTGTCCCTGGAAGTGACCATGTTTGTGGGGGTGATGAGAATGTAACAAGGGGTTGAGGTCAAAAAAGGTTTTTCAAATGAGTTTCCAGCTAGACACCAGTTTGGGTTGGAGGGAGCCCATGGAGACAGAATCCTGGCTGGTTCTGTTTGTTGAGAAGGGGGCTGGTTTGAGGCTCCAAGCCTGCAACCAGCTGCTCCTGTTTGGGACTCTCTGGATGTTCTCTTGCCCTGCACAGGGATGGCAGAGGGCCCCATGGCTGTTTGGATGGGGGCGTATCCTGGGGTACAGAGGTGACACTTCTCACCAAGACGTTCATCCACTGAGTGTCCCAAAACTTCGTTGCCCCAGGGGATGATCCCTGCAAGGGTTGGAGAAGGGCTTTTCATCAGAGGTCACATAAATGATGGCAGAGCCAGGACAGAGACATGGAATGTGGGGAGTTCCTTCCTGCCAGCTGTGCTGGTCCAGGAATAGGTGGGAAAGCAGCTGGGAGCCAGCATGGCTCTTCCTCAACTTCACATTGGTCCTTTCCACCCTCTGTTCCAGCGTGCCTTCAATTTAGGGTCACAGGGACCTTCCAGGTGAGACACGTTGCATTTGGGGATAAGATTGTGGTGGGTTGGAGATGAGCCCTTGGCCTGAAATGCATGAGAAGCATCAGCCTGTCTATACCAACACTGCTCTCACTGACTATTGCTTTAATTGTTGCATGTGTGCCTTTCCTCACAGAAACAGGAATTAAACGTCACTGCAAACGACGAGGAGGATTCTGTAGTTTTGGGACATGTATCCCCCCTACAAAGGCTATTGGTAGATGTGCAGGAAAAACTGTCTGCTGCAAAACGTAAGCTCTGGAATCCTGGCTGGGGACAGTTTCCTTCCTTTTCCCTAGAAAGATCTGTTTAAAATTTCTTTCTTGCCAACAGCTGAAAATACTCTCTTGCATTTATGCTTTGTGAATGATGCAAAAAAAAAAAAAAAAAAAAAAAAAAAAAGGGAAAAGTCCTTAAGGGGTTTGGAACTGCCATGAATGTGGCTGACAGCCCCAGGCCGGCCAGGGCCTCCCCACTCAGCAAAGCCACCAAAGAGGGAAA